AGTATTCACTACATATTACTTGCTCAGTTGTATACCATATATCTGAATAATAATGGCATATATTCGGACCTCATCCGTATCATACCATCCTCCATGCTAAGATTCTCCCATATATTACTTTGGTGTTGCCGAGAACTTAGCGTATCCCTTCACAACCTTATTAATCGCCTCAATGAGATCCTTCTCAGAAATAGATTTCCGCCTCGCTCGAATGGCAAACATCCCCGCCTCCGTACCTACCAACCATATTCCATACCACACTTCTTACACATCTCATCCCAATATAGACTTACACACACTTCTTATATCAGCACCAGTACAGTTAGGACACAGCCTTGCCAGGAGTTCAAAACGAATGTCTCTAAAATGACCAACGACCAGTGTTGAAGGAATACCTTCGCTTTCCTCACCTCACTAGTTATGAAATTATAATTATTATTAGTTTATATATACGAATTCGAGTAAAAGTGTCGGAAAACCAACAAGAATTTCCTATGTACATGGTTCTCAAAATTGCGGACCATGTACATATTCCCCCCACACTGCAAACGACTCTTCCCACTGTGCCGTTCATACTACTACTACCTATCCATGTTCATACTGCGGGCCTGGATCTTGAAAATATGCGTACGACCATCTAAATCCGGTAACGCGAATTCAATTTTACGGTCAAGTCGACCTGATCATCAAAGAGGCTACTCAGACTCCAGAAATTAAAATCAACAAACTCCCTATCAACTCCCTATTGACATATTACCAGGCCGTAGTAGTGCTGGATCGAGAGTATCAGGTCTGTTGGTGGCCATCAAAACCTTAACATTGCCTCGAGCATCAAAACCATCCAACTGATTGACAATTTCCAGCATAGTTCTCTGCACTTCATCATCCTCTGATCCACTACCACCACTACCACGAGAGCCACCAATGGCATCAACCTAACAACAACTACTTATTGTGTACCAGAGGGAACCAAACACTAATAACGACTTCGTCATGAATTTAACTAGAGTTCAACACCAAACGACTACCACCGAAGTGTATGCGACATGGCCAACATCATAACCCCTTCCCCGAATATGACCTCATCAATAAACAATATGCATGCCTTCTTACTACGAGCAAGTGTGAATAACTCCCGTACCATCCTTGCACCCTCTCCCACATACTGACACAGACTACTAAGAGCCTCCCTACCAGTAACGGCTACTACCTTCTGA